ATCATAAAATTGGATAGTACTTGTGATTTGATATTGGGTCTCGATAAGAAATGGATATCAAATTCCCCTAGTTCCATAGACCACTTTGTTAGCCTCCTCAATGCCTCCAATTTTGGTAAAGTAGCCTTTAAAGGGAGGTTCATGTAGATACCAATATTATGACCTTTAAAATATAAACATTAGTATCAAGGCAGTTTTATCAGTTGGTAGATATTATGCCCCTTCAAATTTTAAAGAATAGGATATATTTGTCCTTGACCGTGCTAGAAAGCGAGATAAGGTGATGATCCTTCTAATTAGTCCTTTTACTCTTTTATGCTTTTGGGAGAAGACATCTCATTGAGAGACTAAATTTATAAGGATTAGGCCTGATTCCAAATTGAGTGATCAGAATCAAATAAACTTACCTAACGTGACTTCAAAGGCACACTTGGTGGGGTTGAGGTTTATGTTATACTTTCAAAAAAGGTCAAAATATTATTCTGAATCGGGAATATGTTGAGATTTTTTTTGAACTCTTGACCAACATTGTCATGGATTTATACCTCCATGATATTTCCAAAGAGATCTTTGAAAATCTTATTAATGAGATGTCACTAACATTATTTAGCCTAAAGGAAATAACCCTGTAGCAATGCAAGTCTTTATTTATTTTAAAGGAAGTAGCCTCCTCATCAATAGGATTCATCTTTATCAAGTTATAACCAGAATAATATCAATGAAAATGAGAATTTGATGTTTAGTGTTCCATCAACCAATTGATTTATTCAAGGTAGAGAAAAACTATCATTTGATAAGTTTATTTATATCAGTATAGTCAACGTACATCCTCTATGCTCTAGAAATCTTGCTTACCATAACAACATTTTCAACCAATTAGGACGATTCCCCTCTTTAAAATTTACTTGAAGAAGCTTGTCGGCCTTTTATTTGATCACTTGCTGGTGTTCTAGCACAAAATTTTAGTTCAATTATTGGAGAGTGCATATTTACTTCAAGACTATTGATATGGCTTAAAACATGCTTAATTCCCTTTCTCTTTTACACCTGTTTATGGATAAAATTGAACTTTAAAGAATGATATTTTCATATTTTTTCTTGCAGGTACAACATGTAAGAGAAGTGGAATGAAGCGGAGAAGAATTGGAGCAAAGCTAAGGTGAAAATGAGCTAAAAACAAATTGGAGGACTAGTGCCTAGGTGCCAGCCTTTGCGTGCCAAGACGCCTCTCAAAGCGCCTTGGCGCCATCCCTGTGGAACCTCCATCCCTGTGGAACCTATGCTCTATAATCCAGTCGACTAGATAGAGAGCTTGGTGCTTAGGTGTCAGAACTGATTGGGAAAGTTCCTGTAGTTTTCTTCACACAATTTATGGAGTTATGTTGGACATGTATTGACATATTTGGTGAAGAAAAAGAGATGAGAAGAGGGGAGAAGAAGGCTAAGTGCTGCAGAAATCCTAAGGGAAATCCTTAGGAGTTCTTAGGGTCGTAACTTGTATTTTCTTTGATTATTGTATTGAAATATTGGCGAGGATTGAGAGTTGTATTGGAGGAGATTCTCAACATTGCATCAAAGATTGTGAGATCCTTTGAGAAGACATTTACAACATTTTGTAAAGGGAAAAACCTAAGTATTGTGCTCCTTTTGTATTGTACTTTTCTATAATCACAATTCTATTTGATTTGCTTTATTTGAAAATTTTTTGTGGTGTTTCTTCCATGCATTGTGATTAGTTCTTCCTACCTTTCTCTTGTGATGAATAAGTAGGTCGTGTAGAAATAGTACAATGCTTTTCAAGTTGATTTTTACTTCTTAATGTGATAAGTATTCTTCAAGGCTTAATTTACTTTCCATTTTGGCCAAGTGATTAGTTAAAATTCATTGTGATTCTTAATGACCCAGGAGAGCTAATGATAAACTTTATTAAAATAATATTGCATGATATAACTATTCTGAAGATTTAACATAAGGGAAAAGAACATACACAATGACAACAAATAAATAAAGGGAAATCATGCATCCTTGCCTCAAACAAGAAGAAGAAGCGAAATAATCATTTATTTATTCATTAATAATAACAGAGAAGTAAACATATGTTATACATGTCTTAATCCAATGAATAAAACCAATCAGGAAACTCAATCTGAGAAAAATTTGATTAAATAAGTAAATTTTAGAACAAAATTCTTTCCAAAATTAACAAAAGTATTAAATAAAAGCTCCCTTTGTCAAAATGATATTATTAGGAATATCTCTCTCTTTAATAAAAGTAACTTTAATGAGATTAATAATATAACAAAGAATATGTTTAATTATATCAGCTAAAATCTTAGCAATAACCTAAAACAAAGTGTTATAAGGAGGCATAGGACAATAGTCATTTAAAGAGTTAGTACCTCGCTTATTGGGAATTAAAGTGATAATAATATGTTTGTCTTTACTGGGAAGCTCACCAGTGTTAAAAAAATTTTCATAGCATGAATACAATCTTCCCCAATAATATTTCAATAATCTTTAAAAAAATTAGAAGAAAAATCATTAGAGCTAGGATATTTATAAATTCTAATAGAATATATATTTAATTTCATCATCACAGAAAAAAAAAAACTAAAGCATCACAATGAAAAAAAAGAATTAGTATTAATAATGAGATTTTCGTAAAAATAAAAAAGAGTTTTGAACATGCACAACTTTATTAAGGAAAGGTTAAAAAAAAGAGATGGTTTCATTAGCAATATCTTAATGGTATTGTAAGGAATTATCATTAACTAATATTTTCTTGATACAAGTAGAAATGTTTCTAATTTTAATCTTTTTATAAAGCATTTTTGTGTCATATTCATTCTTAATAATCCCTTTATTTTAATATTTTATAACTACAAGAATGAGCATTGTGGAGTTTGTGAATTTTTACAAATAGGATTGATGTCCAAATTATTCATAATAATTTCATATTCAATTTTTAAATTAGTAATATAATTAGTAAGATAGTTAGAATTTTTCCAATTCCAATGCTTAGAAGCTTTTTTGAGATTCTTCAATTTACTACAAAGTGAAGATAATAGATCTCATTTAACATTAATGTTTCAAGCATCTTGAACCGATCAAAAAAAATCCAAAACTACCACTGCAATAGTTATTATATAAAGATATATGTCTCAAAACAGAATAAGTCCCTAAAGAAACAAAAACAGAAGAATGATCAGAAGTGAAAATAATCCAAAATTCTAAAAACAGAATAAGGAAATGAATCCACCCAAGAGGCATTGAAGAAAGCCCAATCAAAAAGGCATATAATATGATTATCTATTTGATTAATATACCAATTGAAGTTATTATCAACATTTTGTTACTCAAAAATATTAGATAATTTTATTGTTAAAAATAGATAATCATATTATATTAATAGCATTTTGAACTGTGATATTTCCTTTACTAGCCACAATATTAACATAATCAACACTTTTGCTCATTCTTGTATTCCTGACTATCTTGATTCAAAAAATTAGCATCAGAACAATGGACATCCATATCAATATTAATAGGAGTAGCATTAGAATTAATATGATGAACTTCACAATTTTATATAGCAATATCGATACCGCTAGATGATATATCAGTAGATATGTTTAAATCATGAGCAAATGAAGCATCGACAATAAAAACTTTAATAGGAATGGGAGGTCTGTAGTTACCCTTTTGAAATATTTGATTATTGTAATACCTTTTATTGCTTCTTCCTCTTAAAATGAGCCTTGGAACAAGATTGATGATTGTGAGCAAAATTGCTACAAGCATTACAAGGGGTGGGTTTCCATTTGTACACCAGAAGTAATTTAAGCTCATGTTCTTTAATGTCATGAAGAATAAAATCAGGAAGAGAAAAATTAATATTTAACTGTGTATTAATTCTGCTAAAAGAAAGCCATAAAATTTTAGATGTTGAATTAACAACCAAATGATTGTCGATTTGACTAGCAATCTTAGAGATACCAAACTCACTCCAACAACATAGAGATGAATTAAAAAACTAAACTCAAATATGTATATCTTTGAAATATTCTTTAATAAGTTAAAAGCAGTGTGACCATTTTTTAAAAATGAATGGTTTACCATTTATAAATCAAATACCACCCGCCAACACTATCAAAATCCTCCACACAAATACAATTAAACAGAAAAAAACCTTCAGATAGAGATATCTGATCTACAACACCTTTCAATCTCTATATTCTACTAATTGCTTGTTGCAAATTACCGTAGAAAGAAAGTTTGTCAATTGCTTGCTCAAGCAGAGTTAGACTCTATTGCTTTTATTCATAAAGACCTTCCTTGATCGCAAAAAGAAACCTAATATGTCAAACTTCAAACATAAGACAAACAAAAATTAGAAGAACTAGTTATGTTAGAAGAGACAAGACTATTCCAATTGAGAACAGAGATAGGACATAAAAAAAGACTGAGAAAAATGTTAAGTAAGAGGACAAAAATGGTTCATGAGAAGAATATATGGGCAAAAGAAATACCAGAAAAAAAAAAGGACGAAAAGAAACAATATTTTCCAAGTGAGAGAGAAAAGAGAAGGCCTCCACAAACCATTGAGAAGATCTAAGAATCGCCTCAGAGCGCCACTTCGACTTAAACCCTAACAGAGAACATCACTTCGTTCATGCCTTTCCCTCCAAACAAAAACTTTCTATCTATATCTTTATTCGAATATTAATTTTTTGAGATCTAAATGGTTATATCTAAATTAGTATTTAAATAGATGAGTTTTCTACTAATACATTAATAGAAAAATTTTTAAGTATAATAATACTTTATCATGAATAAACCTCTTCCCATCACTTATTAGAGGTGCTTGCAATAATTAATGTTGCTATTAGTTTATTAAACTGCTCACAACGGTAATGTAGATCGGAGCAGTTCAGACCTGCGCACGGTTCCTTAATAATACGATTTGAAGGAAATGTTCTGTCGATTTAAATTCCCCCCCCTCTCTCTCTCTCTCTCTCTCTCTCTCTCTCTCTCCCTCCTTGTTGAGCTCCACTTTCCAACAGTGGCCGTTCCTCTTACCCACCAGCTTCCGATTAGCTGTGGAGGTTGTGGAAAGGTAGTGGAAAGGTAGTGGAAGTGGAGGAGCCTGGGAGATTTTGATAAAAAGGAGTTCTAGCATTCGATCTCTGGAATTCCACGCGTTGCCAACCAAACATCTTCGCCTGTTTCACTTTCTCTCTGATTTTGTGCGACTGCAGAATGACAAGCGGATGGTTATTGTGATCATTTACTTCCCTGTCTTGGTGATTTGGATCTTTTGATTCGTCGTTAGAGGGTGCTTTTGATTGACGATGGCTTCGGAGGGAATATTCTCGATATCAGTTGCATCGGTTTTGGAGGATGTGCTTAAAGAGCACGGGAAGAGGTTCAGCGACCTGGATTTGGTTTCGAGGAAGGCTGAGGAGGCTGGTGAGAGCAAAATTTTTTTTTTACCGTTGTTATTTCCCCTTATTGCGTGATTCAGCAACTGTTGACCTCTTTTATCTTTGCGCTGTTTATTATTTGATGCAAATCTGTTTATGCACTGCTTTTAAGACGAGTACATTTGTGGATCTAAAGACTGGTGATATTTTGAATTATTGTGTTGTTTGTTTTAGGATATTAATTTAGCGCAACTAATGAGATCAGAATTACTGCTCCGAGTAAAGAGTGGTTTTAGTAGACTTAGCGAAGATGATTGAAAATGGTTTTGATTTATGTCATTCTCATCATTTTGGTGGAGCGTTGATATAATGTACTAGATCTAACTTGCTGCTATACTTGCCAATTTAGTTGGCCTGTTCATCCTCTTGAGTGGAAATTTTGTTTGTCATTCGGCCTGTTAACTTAATAATTCCATTTTTGATGATTTGTGGTATTTTCTCTGGATGTGTTATAATTTAATGCATAGAAATTAGATGAGTTGAACTAATCGTTGATTCAGTAATTCTTAGGATTCTGTTTAGGAGTAGTTTTTGTTAGATCATCAGTTTTTCTTGCTCTGTAACTTTTTCTAAATAATAAATACAGCTGCGAGACGATATGAGGTAGCCAGATGGCTTAGAAAAACGGTGGGTGTGGTTGGTGCCAAGGATTTGCCAGAGGAGCCTTCAGAAGAGGAATTCAGGCTTGGGCTGAGAAGCGGTTTGATCCTTTGTAATGCCCTGAACAAGGTTCAACCTGCAGCTGTCCCGAAGGTGATTAGCTTGGAAATATCTTTGTCATTTCATGTCTTGAAATTTGAATTCATTTTCTTAATTTCCAGATTATTCTTAATAATATTGTTTCTGCATTAGCTTGGAAATATCTTTGTCATTTCATGTCTTGAAATTTGAATTCATTTTCTTAATTTCCAGATTATTCTTAATAATATTGTTTCTGCATTAGCTTGGAAATATCTTTGTCATTTCATGTCTTGAAATTTGAATTCATTTTCTTAATTTCCGGATTCTTCTTAATAGTATTGTTTCTGCATTAATGTAATTTCTCAAATTCTGCAACCTTTTGGTTTCCTTTTTTTATAGATTGTTGCAAGTTCAGGAGATTCAGTGATTGTTCCAGATGGAGCTGCGTTGTCAGCTTACCAATACTTTGAAAATGTGAGGAACTTCCTCGTTGCTGTCCAGGAAATAGGTCTACCCACTTTTGAAGTGTCAGATTTAGAGCAGGTATGTTTGCAGCTCTTTTTGATATGGAAGCATTACATGTATACCACTCAATTCCTATGTTTTTACACATGTAACACCTAAACTTTAATTTTTACCCATATGCCCTCACATATGCATAAAAAGGTGCATTTCACTTTTTAAAAGTTAAAATAGTGGTAATTTTTGTGTGATATAAAAGATTTGGGTCGTATAAATATAAAAGGTAAAGTTTAAGTGCTAGATATGTAAATGCCTTGGAATTGAATGGTATGTATGTATATACCCTTTAGATATATACGGTTTTCATACAATTTGATTCATATTATTTAGAGAATAATTAGATTTTGTCGTTAACTTGTTATATAGTCACTTCAAAGAAGTTTTCCATGTAGCTGAAAACTGAATGAAGAACATGGCAGACTAAAGATCATGTAGCTCAAAAGTCAAAACTAAATGAAGATATTTTTAATACTGTGTTTTTTTCCAGTACCATGTCTCATTTATAACTTCTGCTTAAGTTAGTTTGATGTTGTTTGATAAAATCAGTGAAAATTTATGTGTTTTACCTTTTTTTGATAAATTTTCAGGGAGGGAAAAACTCAAGAATTGTGAACTGCGTTCTGGCTCTTAAATCCTACGGTGAATGGAGACAAATGGGCGGTGGTGGATCCTGGAGACTTGGTGGGAATGCTAAGCCGGCTACATCTGGAAAAGCTTTCATGAGGAAGAACTTCGATCCTTTCTCAAGTTCTATGGCCAGGTCTCAGTCATTGGATGACCCAGAAAGCTTTTACACTGAACAAAACTCAAGTCAAGAATCCCGTGAAATGGTTGCAATGCCAAAATATGACCTTTTAGCATTTAACTATTTGTGCATTATCCTAATGATTTGCTCTGATTTTTGCAGCCGTCGTCTTCTTTAAATGTGCTTGTCCATGAAATTCTTTCAGACAAGAAGCCTGAAGAAGTTCCAGCTGTAATTTATCCTGTTTCTAATTTCCATCGTATTACTTGTTGATTGCTTCTATTGCATTGGCAAGATGAACTTACTATATTATTTCTCAGCTTGTGGAATCTATGTTAAACAAATTTATGAAAGAGTTTGGGCGGCGCATTGCAAGCCAAAATGAGTTGGTATGCTTTTACTCTTCTACTCAATAAGCAATTGTTCAATTTGTAAGATTACGAAAGAGGATTTTATTGAATCTTTTGGAAGCTGGAGCTTGATACTCTTACCTTACATGGACATATAATATCGCCAAACTGACTCCAAATTCTCATTTTTTCTTGATGATCATGCTTGTTCTTTGTTGCTTTGAATGATATGGTTTCTATGTTGTGATTGGGTTCATTAGTAACAAGTGTTCCTTTTTGAAATTTTAGCCTAAATTTTGGTCAATTCTGTGCGTAACAGGTAAAAACAGCTATGAAGGGTTTGCAAGATGACGGTAAATCTTTCTCTAAATTGAAGATTTCTGTGGATCCATCTCCTATTTCCGAATTTAAAGTATGATTTTTCTTTTATACTTTCACATTCACTCAATCTAGTGATAAATGTTTATTTTGCTGTAGCTCTAGGTTTCTCGGTTAATTGGTTTTTTCTTATGCTCATGAATCATGATGTTTTAACTGCCCTTAAAGAAGGAGAAAGAGGTAATTAAATGCACAACAATGAAGGAGAACTTCCATAGAAACATGAAACATGAAGAGGCAACAAAAGAACAGCTTTTGAAGCAGTACTCGATTATTGAGCGACAACAAAGAGGTATTCAGGTAACAGCTAACTACCACTGAATTTTTTTAAATGTTTTATACTTAGTTTAATTTTGTATCTTCTAATGATTAATTTAACGTGTAGTTCCTTAGACACGATCTTCAAACAGCTAGAGCTGGTATGGAGTTCATGCAAAAGAAATACCTGGAGGAGCTCAAAATTATTGGTATGATACATAAAAAAGTGATGAACCATGAATTCCTTTTATGGATTCTTTCTTATTATCTTCATGTCATTCTTAAAAAAAACAAAAAATAAAAATAGGGAAACATATGCACTGCCTTGCTAATGCTGCATCTGGCTATCACAAAGTTATTGCGGAAAATAGGAGGCTTTACAATCAGGTGCAAGATCTTAAAGGTATTATTATTAATTAGATTATTCTTGCATGGGAAAAAAGTTCTCCATACTAAATCTTTTGTACATATTAGGAAGTATTCGGGTGTATTGTCGAGTCAGGCCATTTTTACCTGGGCAAATGAGTAGCAGCAATGTTGGCTGCATTGATGATGAAAGCATTACGATCATCACCCCTGCTAAATATGGAAAAGAAGGGCGGAGAACTTTTACTTTTAATAAAGTGTTTGGTCCTGCTGCTTCACAAGGTCATTTTATGCTTATGCCTTCAATCTTTGTACTGACAGAAATTTGTCTTGCTTGGAACTAGTCTAATTTTATTTGATGCTTCAGAGGAAGTCTTCTCAGATACTCAACCTTTGATACGATCTGTTCTAGATGGTTACAATGTTTGCATATTTGCTTATGGTCAGACTGGATCTGGAAAAACTTTCACAATGGTAAGAATTTATAGAACATGGTGGTTTGTTATTCTAATAAACATCACATTTAAAGTTTTAATTTATATAATAATCTTGAAGTCTAAGCTAAAGCAATCTTCCTCTTTTGAATGCAGAGTGGAGCCAAAGTAGTAAACGCACAGAATATGGGTGTAAATTATAGAGCGTTGAGCGATCTGTTTAACCTTGCAGAAGAGAGAAGAGGCGCATTCACATATAATATTGGTGTGCAGATGATTGAAATTTATAATGAACAAGTGAGAGATCTCCTCGTTTGTGATGGTCTCAATCGAAGATATCCTTGTAGTAGTTCATTGGTGGATAATTTATTGAAATTGATTTTTTTTTTTGTTTCCTCGAATGTTTGTTAAATTTCCTTAACAATGAAAACATTAGAAATCAGAAATGGAACACAAAATGGTGTAAATGTTCCTGATGCTAACTTGGTCCCAGTCACTTCAACTTCTAGTGTAATTGAACTCATGAACATTGGGTTGAGGAATCGTGCTGTTGGTGCGACAGCTTTGAATGATCGCAGTAGCCGTTCTCATAGGTCTGTTAGTGTTCAAAATATCTCAATTTTACCAAACAATTTGTTGTTTTAGTATATGTTATTGATTGATTATTTGCAGTTGCCTTACTGTACATGTTCAAGGAAGGGACTTGACGTCAGGAACTATTCTCCATGGATGCATGCATCTAGTAGATCTTGCAGGTAGTGAAAGGGTTGAAAAGACTGAGGTAACTGGAGAGAGGCTAAAAGAAGCTCAACATATAAACAAATCTCTTTCGGCCTTGGGTGATGTGATATATGCCCTTGCACAGAACCATTCTCATGTACCTTATAGAAATAGCAAACTTACACAGTTGCTTCAAGACTCACTTGGTATGCTCTTTACTTTTACCGAAGCTAATTTGACTTATTTTTTAGTGGGAACTACTAGTAATAGTGTGATTACTAAATGAAATGTAGGAGGGCAAGCTAAAACTTTAATGTTTGTTCATATAAGCCCTGAAATGGATGCCATAGGAGAAACCATTAGCACACTTAAATTTGCTGAAAGGGTTTCTAAAGTTGAGCTTGGTGCTGCTCGAATAAATAAAGAGATTGGAGAATCCAAGGAACTTAAGGAGCAGGTGAAGATTCTAATTTGATTTTTTTATCCATATTACTATCTATAATAAAAGAAATAGTTAATTTTATTTTTTCACAGGTAGGTAGTCTTAGAGCAGCATTGGCAAAGACGGGGGGAGAATCAGAGCAGTTTCAAGCTATTATCCAAACTGATCCATCAACATTGAAGACTAGAGCATCATCTCCTGCCTATTTGAATAAACATGGAGTAGATTTTCTAAGTTTTGAAAACAGAAACCATAGACAACCTATGGAGGAGGTTGGCAACATAGAGGTAATTATTAACTATTTGATGTCAACCTTTGAACTTTTCTTGGTATATAATCTATTTATCTTGATTTGTGTAAAATGTTGGTGTTTGGTCTTGAGCCATTTCAAAATTTCTTGATCAATACAAAATGCTTAAGATCTCTAATTTTTTAGAAATATTGGATTGAGCTTTTCAATGATATGATTAAATAATTTATTGGGCTTGCTGATTTTAGAGATCTTGGTAAATATTATAATTGATTTTATTTCTCTTTATACACGGCTTATTCTATAGTAAGCCTAAGAATGAGGTGTTTGTCATCCAACGACAAGAAGCAAATAAAGAGAAGAATGGAATTAAAATGGAATATTATTTGAGAAAGAAAAGATTTTTGGTGCCAAAGGAGTGCTTATTGTAGATATGACCAGGAGACCCTGCCCTTGCTAAAACTGAAAATAAGAAAACCCCTTCAATCTAGAAGAATCCAAAGTCCCTTACCCCTCTATCAGTCATTACTCTCCTTATTTTCAACATTATATGAAGCACAATATCTGCATATACTCCTATTGAAACTTAATGGATTGTTCAATAAACATTAGTGGATATCACGCCAAACCATATAAACTTGTGGTTCATTTTTGTGATCTGTGTTTTATTTATTTATCATCTTACTCAATTTGTAGTGTTTCTTGTCACATCATAACTATTACAATGAGAATTTTAGTTTAGAAATTTTTGATATTAGGAGTTTAAAGGGCGGGAAGATTGAAATCAACTAGTTCAATGCCAAAACTTAGACTTCAATGGCCAAAATTTGGGTTCTAAAAGATGCTAATAGAGAACTATGTGCACCATATCAGCTATTGAAAGCAGTAAACTTATGTTGGTTTCTTGAAATGAGAAAAAAGAGAAAAGAGAATTGTTGAAGATTGAAGGAAAAATTAGAACCACACACCTTTTGTGTAGCCTTATAATATTTAAACTTGGAGCTAATAACAAACTTTCAAGACAAAGACCTAAAAATCAACCAAGAAAATAACAAGAAATAAAATTCAAGAAAAAATAACAACTAACTCCTAATATTAAGGAACAAACTAAATTCAAATAAACCTAGACTCAATAAGCAGTCCTAAGCATGTATTCCAACACTCCTCCTTGCTTTAGGATCTGTGAACACCAAGTTTCTGCCTTAGAAACTCAAATTTGCTGATTGGAATTGACTTTGTAAGCAAATCTGCCAATTGATCTTCAGATTTGCAGTAAGTCGGAGTCACAAACTCTTCTTTCTGCACTTCTCTTAGAAAAAATAACTTGATGTTGAAATGCATAGTGTTCCCATGAAACACAGAGTTATGAGAAATGATAATGGTACGAATATCGACACCATTGGTAATCAATTGCATGCTGTCACCAGAAACCCGAATGAGTTTTGAATCACTTAAGCAAGCTTTATCGACATCATCTTCCAAGTCTGCATGTTTCGTCATTGGCACCGTTTTGATGAAGCCTGAGCTCGACTCGGATTTCTCTTCCCGCACTTGTTTTGTGGAACTTTGTTGCCTTTGAACTTGAGATTGCAAAGCAGTCATAAATGTTAATAGATCATGTTTTTCTTTTGCAGCGAACAATGCTTTTTCAGCGACATCTTTTAATCGAGCTTCCGCATATGCCTGTGAAACCCTGGTGCTTTCTTCAACTCGAACTACAACCGCTTCTAATAAAACATGTTCTCTAGCTTTTGCGAGCTTAGAACGCCAAAAATGTGCCTCTTGAAGAGCAGAGTCTATCTGCTTGAACAGGATTTCTCCATCTCTGATAATTGTTGCAACCTTTTCTTCTGATTCTTTTAACTTAAGAATGGTTTCTTGAAGTTTTTTATTTGAATCATTAGTCAGTCCAATTTCTATGTAAGCAAGCCTCTTCTCTTCATCCATAGCATGCAGCTACTTCAGCAGCCTGAGTTGTCTCAATTAACTTGTCTGCTAACTCACGTATGGTTGAATCTCTTGCACGTAATTCTTTGGCCAATTGCTGAAGTTCTTCTTCTTTAACTCGAAGTGTTTCCTTCATTATCGTAAGATCATCTAATTGGCCTTCATTACCCTCATTAATCAATGAAACTTCTTGTGAGTGGGCATGTGTTTTACAGAACTGAACTTTCATTGGGAAAAGAGCCAAAAACCTCCTGCTCCTGCATTGGATTGTGTGAAAAACTCCTCCTTGTCATCTTAACTTCAAACATCCTTTGGCCTGTAGCATCCTCTATCACACAAGCCTTCTCCATAAACATCACTTTGAATCCCTTTTCTATTAATTGACCAACACTGAGCAAGTTTTGATCAATATCTGGTACGCGTAGAGAACATCGGTGATCAACTTGGTTACTGAACAGCTTGCACTGGCCACGGCCACGGTGCCCTTTCATGGTAATACTTACTTGAAAGGGTGGTTCCCACGTAAATAAGATATGTAATTTTCAAGGATGTTTTCATTTGTGGTTAAACTATCCTCTATTCTTCTAGTGTTGAGCATTGTTGCAATTAAAGATTTATATCTTGAGTGGATGAATGTCAAGACATTTTCTTTATGGAGATTTGGAGAAATATTTCTACAGTTCTAACTTGGAGGCTTTCTTGAGCCTTGAAAGTAAGCCTTTTGTCTACCAAAAAGAAAAAAGAACTTAATGACTAGAAAGAAACACCTCATCGTTGGTTCCAAAATATTGATAGATTCATGATAAGGAAAATGGTTTTACTCATAGCAACATGAATAAATCAAGGGAAGAAGCATTAATATTAAAAAAAAAAACCAATAATATAGAATAGATATAAATATTATTTAAATAGAAGAATTACTATAGTCTTTTATGGAAGGAGAAAGTCATCAAATTTCAGCTCAAATTACCTCCAAGCAACATAAATATAATGAATGTTTCCAATATATTTTCTAATAAAGCACACTATTTATTTATATTGATGTGAGCAAATGATTGTTATCTCATTCTATAACAACTTAATGCTTTCCTTCTTATCAATGTATCTTTATGGGAAGTCAAATGCGCGCGTGCCTCAATCATAGTAGTAAACCAACTTGATGTTTTCCTTTGTAGCTTTGTATCTTTATTGGAAATTAAATGGGCGTGCCTCATTCATAGTTTCATGTTTTAAATTTTTGCCAGCACTATTTCAAAAGAGTGGATCAAATAATTTATTTCATAATGATGAATGTAATTGAACATGATGATGATGCTTTCATTGCTATGATTGTAAATAAAGCTTCAAAAGGAATCATTTGATATCCTACAATAATAAAAAATGATAATAAAACTAGAAGAAGGTATAAAAAGAGAGGTAGGATGCCATTTGAGAAAGAAAGGGAGGAGTGTGCTTGTGGGGAGAGGTCTTTGGCTTTTCAAGAGAGAAATTATGTTAGTTTTGGTTTTAACAAAAGGAAAAGCTTTTGGCCATAGCAAGGAGTTGACTTCAAATGGAAAGGTGTGCTATTTTCTTTATTTATGGTAAGAGTTGAAATTTTTGGTCATAAAAAGGAGAAAATCTAATTTGCATTTCTCAAAGAAAGAAAGGATGATTTCTTAAAGAAGAAAGGAATAAGGTAACTATGATAGCTTTTGCATGGCTATCTTGTTTGTATTCATTGATATTCATGTGCTTATCTTCAACTTTGAACAAAAGGTGTTATCTTTTCATATATATCTTTAATAGATTGTTCGATTTCTATATAGTCGTGGATATAGATTAATTTTTTAGAATCACAAATTTTCTTTCCTTGTGTTTTACATCTATACATTTCTTTTTCTCTCAAATTGGTTTGATTTTTGCTCAAAATTTTATTTCCACTAATACCTTGATGAAACATGCATAGTCGTACGTAATTTGGTATACAAATATTATGAGTATGTGAAGCATGAACACATATCCAATATGGCTGTAAATTGGTTTTTTTTTTGTTTTACTTATTTATTTATAGCCGTATGCAATTTGGTATACAAATATTATGAGATATGTGAAACATGAACACATATCCAAGATTGCTGTAAATTAGTTTTTTTTCACTCTTTCGGATATTTGGTGTTGATTTTAACCAGCGTTCCTGTGATATATACACACGAGACAGTTTTTCTTATTTTTTTTAAGAGGCTATTTATCTTTGCATTCTAATCTATTAAATTCATAATGGGGGTAACCTAACCGTACCCAACCTTCACTCTTGCTATTCTAATTTATGTGTAAACACTGATTACAAAGGTATTTTTGAGGCTTGCCTCGAGGCCAGACAAGGTAGGTTAAACTTTATTTTTATTCTAATGATACCTTGATGGAACATGTAACATTGTACTTAATTTATTTAAATATAATGTGATATGCCCAAGCATGAACACATTTTCAAGAAGACATTTGTGTTTTTTGGCATGCTTCATTCTGTTCTTTCGTGGTTATTGTGTTGTTTTTAAATCAATGCTTTTTTTATTTCTATACATGCTCATTTGATACAAACTTCATCATTTCTTTATCGGTAGGTTAAAAATGCTTGGGACCATCAAGTTAGATTAAAGCATTGCCATAAGCGTCGAGAATTCACTTTTTACATCCAACTAGTGGACCGGCAATCCCAAACTTCAACTTAATTAATATAAATTATCAAATTAGTAATTTTAATTCTATGTAATTATATTTCAATTTATAACTAGTTAATTTGCTTTTTAATTTTTTCATTGATTTCTCCACTACATCCTCTCAAAATATTGAAGGCCTACGGCCAGTTCACCTTCATCTACTTTCATCTCTAATCTCTGCTAGCTTCACCTTTTAGACTCCCTCGATGTTGTGTTTTTCATAAATATTTCTTTTTTTTCTTCGTCAAACATCAAACAAAACACACTAATTATTTTGTTTCATTTTTATGTGTAGTTTGTTTGATTTTGAATGCATTTGTGAATCATATGGTCGAGTTTTCCTTTTTTTTAATCTCTTATCTGATTCTATTAGGCAATTTTTTATTTATGAAATTTTAAGGTACTTCAATTACATCCATGTACACATTTGTACATAGTTAAACATATTCATGTCTCTATAATAACTATTTATTAACTTATGCATTAAAAGAATTCAGCTATGCATTTTAACCTCGTCTGCTTTATATTGCAATTACCCATTGATAGACGATGTATAAATTCCATGACAGGCAGTACAAATGTAACGTTCCAATGCAATTTAGCACTACATAAAACATAAAATGTCATGGCTTTCCCTGTATCTTCTTCCAACTTCAAATACAATTTGTATGTAATTTTTTTTCTAATTTTTTCAAGAGAAAATATATTTTCTTTTTCTAATTCTTTCTGTATCATTCTTTGATGCTGGCCATTCCTCGTCAATAGGCACGAAGCAACCCCGGAAGTAAAAAAAAGCCGAGCTTTGACCTCCAAGATTTGTTGATGGGAGAAGACAGTCTTCCCTGGTCCAACTCCAGTCCATTAAAAGCTTGTCGCAACGGAGAAGATGATAAAGACGCAAGCTCTGGAGATTGGGTGGATAAGGTTATGGTGAACAAGAATGAAAATTCTCTCAGCCATGGTGACGGCGGAAATTTCGCAACCCCGCCTGATTTCTTCTATCAGAGGTATGTTTCTGATAGTTCATCCTATCAAGATCAGCCCTACAGCAGAAGCGGACATCAAAGGAAAGATAGTACAGAGTTTGAGATTCAGAGACATAGGTTTGATTCTGTAACCACGGATGATTCTGATGATCTGGACGTTGCTACAAGTGATTCCTCAGAAGCTGATGCATTGTGGCAATTCAACCTTCCAAAATCTGCATGTAATAGCAACAGTGGCGGTTCCAAGGTCAAAAAACCACCAACGAAACCAAGTCCGGATTTCAGGTAAGATGAGCAAAAACCAGTTTTTTTAATGTATTTTTCTGCAAAGTATATGAATTTTACGTAATATTGAATTATGCAAGCCACCTTAGCCCTATTGAATGAGAAACATAAGCAATTACATTTTGTTTAAATGACCCAAAATCTTCAGGACTCCAACTTATGCATATATTCCATCGTCATCATCATCAAAGAAGATTTCTAGTGGACCAAGTAGAATATCAAGGCAACTAAGCTGTGCTGGGCGGGAGGCGAAAAGAACTGCTTCTGGTGGAAAATTGAGCAGTGGAAAGTAAGGAGCTATACTGGTTTCCATTTTTTTTTCTCATTTTAGGATCGATTTTATTATTATTATTATTATTATATGAGTGTAAGAGAGGTTTGAGTGCCTTACTCAGTGGATTGGGGGCAAAACATGGGTTTGTTTGCTCATGGTTTTGTTGATTGGCTTGTTTGAGGGATGGATAATGTCTTGATATATATATTTTTTAAAGTTATTGTTTCTTGATGTTTATACTATCATGTCATTACTGTCAATTGAAAGAAAACTTGATTCAGGGAATGAATATTTTAAGGGGCATTTACATACGCGTACCGACCGATGTTTATATATTTACATAACTAACTCCAAAACTTTGCTTTTTTTACATTTATATCCGCCAAATCTTTCATATCATATAAAAAGTGTCATTATTTTTACATTTAAGAATTGAAATGCACCTTTTCTTGTATGAAGAAGGTGCTATATAGATATAAAAATTGCAGTAGGTGCTAAATATATATGACTATATAAGAATTTAGTGGTATTTATTCTATCTTCAAATTTTGTGGTTTCTAGTGTAATGTTAAAAATAAAGATACAAAAAAGTATGGAGTAAAGCAGAAAACAATCATGATCCATAAAAATGCAATTAGTTTATTTCATATGTTCTTAAAAGAGGTTGAAATAAATTGCCCTTGGACAACTATTTTTATGAATTGCACTATTATATGTGTAGCACCTCTCCCAAAGAATATATACTTGAAATATTTGATTGTGAGTGGATAAAAGGATGAGATTATCTAATGTTTGAGGCAAGTTAAGATAGTGATTTCATTAAAAGTACTAAAAATTGAGAGAAGTTCAAGCTTTGGAGTAATGTATGATCATATGCTAGGGTATCATCACTCAAATTTTATAAATGTCAATAATAATTTTGTTGATCTTCAAGTTCAATGATATTGTATGCTTTTGAACAGTGAAGAAATGCATGTTATTGCTATTTTGACTGGTGCTCATGTGGACTCCAAAAATTCAAACGCCTCCTCGGGACTCCTGCATTTATGTTTAATTTGTTTGTTGAGAGAGCTTTGGAGGGTCAAATATTCAGAAGATGGATTGATTTGTAGTCAAGACATTATCCAGCGATTTTGCCCTCATTTAGTGAGGATTTTTTGATTTGGGGTTCAAGGTTTCTTATAGGCGTAAGCCCTTATATTAATTACCCCCATGATAGAAGGAGGACACTTCTGATTAAAGCTAATCCTTAATAATTGAGTATTCAACATATAATAACAACAGACCTAGAATTTAAGTTACAAAAATTATCACATGAAGCATAAAACAAATGATGGGAGAAGTGAAGATGAAAACCGGTCAAGATCTCATGGTTCTATTGTCCCGGGTCATTGTGGTCACCGTTTTACTTTATTAGAGGAGGTACTCAACCCAACGTTGCTGAAGAATCATTGTTAGCAACCATATTTTGCATCGTCTAAGGTACTCTAGTTGATCAAGGTGGATGTTTGTCTAACGGGACATTTAAATCGACATTAGCTAACATAAGATTTTATGTCAATTAATTGTACATTTATGCTGCACAACTCAGTGAGTAAAAAGCCATTGAGGAACATATGGGTTGCAGTCGTAACTGTAATATAATTGTGTCATTTGGCGGCAACCACTCAGTCAAAGGACTTTAGTCGTAACAACTATTTTGTGGTGTCATTTTAGGGTGAAATCACACAGACAAAAGACTTGGGTCATGTCCTTATTGACATGTAATTACTTTGATTGTGAATAAATGATTATTGTTTATATGATGTTAGTTTTTTGTGACCTGAAGTCAATCAGAAATTTGTCACCCTAGACAAAATGTTGTTGAGGGTGGACGGAGTTTGCTTTAAGTTTTTAATGATTGATTGTAACTTGGAAGCTTTGGTTGATTAATTTAAAATCTTGATTTTAAATATTAACCCTTTCGGATGAAATATTCTATCAAATCAGCCATCATTGGGGAGTTGAGCATTTTAAACTTTTAAATTTGAAGGGGGGCATTTAGTTTTATTTGTTTAGACTTTTAGGGTAAGAGTCATGCAAACTGCTAGTCATATAAGGAGGATGATCAGACAATGAGATTTAGATGCTTATTTCGAAATTATTAGACTCATCGATCCTTACGAGGAGGAGGATCAGACTAGTTGGGTGTTGCATTTTTCATGGAATGTAAAAGCATCACAACTTGCATTTCTCATGGAGTGTTAAGGCATCTCAACTTGCATTTTTTATGGATTTTAAAGGCATCACCACTTGCATTTTGTTTGTATGAATAACAAAACTAACACATGGGATGTTGCATGGAACATAAAGCTAATACATAAGATTTTGCATGAAATATACATCCAACAAATGAGATTTTACATTGAACATAAAGCTAACACAAGAGATTTTGCATGGAATAAAAAGTTAACCACTTGAGATTTTTGCTTTGGATGAGACCTAAATTTAACACATGAAGTTTTGTTTTGGGTTAGACCTAAATTTTACACATGAAGTTTCATTTTAAAAATGAAACTACCACATAATTTTTCTATTTAATGGAACCTAAGTCTACCACATGATTTTTATATTGCATAAGGCATAAGCATAAGCATAAGCATATGAGTTCTCCATTGCATGAAATATGATATAACCATATGATCTTATTGCACAATACATAAACATAATCACACAATTTTGCATGAGATATAAACACAAACATGTGGAAATTCTTTTATACGAAAGAAAACTTAACCACATAAAAGTTCTCTCCTTTTTTTTAAGACTAGGATTTTCAGGTATGCTATAAAGGAAGAAAGTGGTGATGATTAGGCGTGTAGGGGGAGAAAGGGAAATGTGATGTTGTGTTGTGTGGAATTTCGAGTAATCTAGGAAGGAAAGGGGGCGAGGTGTTTATGTGGGGCTTCATGTAGGCTACAGAGAAAGGGAATGTGTAGGGTTTAGGTGGGGTTTCAGGTAGGAAAGCGAGGGAGAGAATGTGAAGAACTTGAGTGAGATTTCATGTAGGCTAGGAAGGGAGAGAGGATGAGGTATTTGGGTGAGGCTTTGAGTAGGTTAAGGAAAGAGGGTAAGGAATGTGAGTGGAGTTTCATGTAGGCTAGGAAAAGTGTGAGGTTGAAGGAATGTGAGTGGAGATTCAAGTAGACTTGGAAGAGAGTGAAGGTAAGGGAATGTTTGAGGTTTCAAGTAGGTTAGGAAAGAAAGAAGTGGTGAGTTTTAGGTGAGTTTTCATGTAGTGGAAGGAAGAAGAAATGGATGGAAGGGTTTAGGAATTTGGTTATGAGAGAAGGTGGAAAAGAAATGAGGGAGAAAAGTGGAATTTAGCCATTGTGTAAGATGAAGGAAGTGGGAAGATCGACATGATTCAACCATGGTGGAAAGAAAGGAAAAAGGGGGAGATTTACCACAATTTCATAAACTAATTCATGCAAAACTTTGAAATAAGCGAGAGAAATTGAGTTATACCTTCTCTTGGAGAATTCATTGATTGTCTTTCTTGAATGAGAGGTGATCTCTTTGCCTTCTTTGGTGTAGAGATTGGGTTTCAGATAGAAGAGAAAGAGACAAGGGAATGAGGAGAGGGATTTTAGGTTTTGAAGAAGAAGGGAGAGGGAGAAGGCGATAAGTCCTTGGAGGAGACAGGAGGGAGAGGGTGGTTTCAGGAAGAGAAGAATGAGAGGAGGGTGGGGGGAATTTTGGGTAAGGGATTTTAAGTGGAGGGGAAAAGGGACGGAGGAGTTATGGAAAGAAGTGGAGGGAAATTAAAAAATAATAGGTGGTACTTTGAATTTTGGGGTGTTAGTTATGATGGTTATGACCAAAATGACAAACCCGTCTCATTTAAAAGAGACAAATGCAAGGAATCCAATAGTGCAATTGATTTTAGATGAAGTGGTATTCAACTAAAGAGATTTCAATTTGAAGTGAATAGGTCGTTATGAGTGGTTATGACCAAAATTTTTTACCTTGGCTCATTTGGCACATAAAAATGCAAGAAATTAAATGATGTAATTGGTTTTGGTAAAAGTGAGTCTTATCTCAAGATATTTCAAATCAATGTGTGGGTCCCACCCTACAAGGAGAAACTTTGGTGACTTTTGAATAAAAAATTTTAATGGGTTTTAATTTATTAAATTAAATATTTTTAAGTCACATTTATTTTGGTTAAAGTTTGATTTTGATTTGAGTTCATTTTGAGTCAATTATAATGTTTATTTTTTATTATCAAAATTATTAACCAAATTATTGTAGGCTTAACGGGCCTACAAACAGAGTTTGATTTGTTTGTGGATGGTTCATGTGAAAGATTTTGACGATCTAGGTGTATTCATGCAGTTCATTTTGAAAAATAATAATTCATTAAAAAATTTCTTATGTAAGACCATTTTTTATGCAGGAAAATCTAAAACAAAGAGTTTTACGTAAAAAGTGTGTCTAATTATCATCAAATTGGTTTGCACACTTCTCATATATGATTGAATGACAACAACTTTATATATGCTTAAAAATACAAGTATTTAATACTACTGCTAAAAGATTTAATTCCTCAGCAACGACACCAAAAACTTAATAACAGTTATAAATTTGATAAAGATATATATATAAAATATTCAATAATGGTAAAGTCACACTTATCAACGCAAGTATACGTATAGCTCAAATAATATAGGGCTCTAATGGAGTCCTAGATATCGATCCCACAGGGAGTAATATTAGAAGCTACGAACTAAGATCTTAGAAAAGCAATACTTAATCACAACAATGGATTTCAAATTGCTTATCTGTCACTAATAGGCAATTGAAATAAATATGTAATTTTAATAACTCTTAAATAACTAATTATACTAATAAAGGTTTTAATGTGATATTCAATATATAAGAAAACATCATTCTCCTTGTCAAGAAATTATAGTGAATAGATAAAGTGAATCAGTTTAAATTATATTGTGCCAAATAGAAGCATACATATTCATTACCCTTTGGTCCAGACATAAAGAACATTGACTAATCCTACGCTTGTTTACTGATTCTGCGGCTAGGCTGGGAGGATATCGGCACTCACTTCGGAGCTCCCACGTTCCCTTCACCTGAGGGCTAACATTTACACTTCAACACCCAAACAATAGGACCGAATTGGGGATTTTAGTCTGTCACTCTAAAATCTCTAATTCTACGTCCG